GACCCCGATTGGTGCCCGTGGGCTGGATGCCCCAGCCCATAATGGGCTAGGGCGGATTAGCTCATATAAGGTTTCATCCTTTTGTTTATTCGGTTGTTTCTGTCATGGCTGCCTTGGAAATGGCAGGCATTCCTTCATTTTCAGAGACGGGGTAGCGCTCTCTCTCTCTCACACACATCCCCTTCATCTGTTACGGTATTTAACAACTATCATGGAAACCATTGTAACTGCCGCCACTGCCATAACCACCACTACCATGGGCTGGGAATCGTAGGAGGGAGGGTGGCCCCACCCTGAAACAAAGGTGTATGTCTGTTTATCTCCTTCTAAAAGGGCTCTTGTAGAAGCCCTGCCCGCCCTCCTCTATTTTGAGAGATCCCTCATATTGATGAAGTTCCAACGCCCTTCTCTGCTCTTGTAGAAGCTCTTATAGAAACCAAAATGGCTCCCTTTTGGTTTTGTTCATTCACCGTGTCATGAAATCATGAAGAACCTGGACTACGACATTGAGAGCATTTATTGTCCTTGTAAAGGAACTATACACGGAGGATCCGGCCCAACTCTCGGGAATGAGAAAAAGAGAGAGAGAGGAGGAGGACCACTGTTGTTAGAAGTTGCAGCGATGGAGCTTCGAATTTGATTTAAGGGCAAAATGGCCATTTCAGCCCTTCCGTTAATATTTTAACAATAATGGTAATTTTCCGAAACAATAGGGGTACCATTAGACGATAGTGAAACAGTAAGGATATACTTGGTCAAGTTCGCAAACAGTAGGTATAGTTTAAGGAAATTGCCCGATAAGGTTAATTAGCCTTTCAGGGTTGTTTGTTAAATGAACTTCTATTAATAAGCACTAACGATGATTTAATGGAAACCTGGTGAATTTTAGAAGATAATTACTTAAAGTACCCATAAACTATTTTGCAATTAATCAAGTACCGTAAGGTTTAAAGCCCTACTTAAAGTACCCTTAAGGTTTGGTCAGTGAAGTGTTGTCATTAAATTAGATAAAAAGACTCCTTTACCCTTGATTGTTCTTTAAATTTTCAAAATATACCTTCTCTCATTTTCTCTTCCTACCCTCTCATGCTCCATTTTCAAACACAAACCACCAAACCAAAGCCACGTGATTGGGCTCTCTCTCTCTCTCCCCTCCCTTCTTCTATCCCACAGGTAACTCAAAACCAGAGCCATATTGGCAATTGATTGTTGCCGGTTTTTGTAAGAGGCAACTCTTCCTGATGGCTGCAGTTGGAGAAAAAGGAGTAGGTGCTAGCAGTATGGGCCTTCGCTCGGGACTCCGGATCTTCTACCCACAACACACTACTCCCATGAATTGGGAACATCTCCCTTACATAATACTATATAGGAGGATGAGATGTTCTTCATGCTTAGCTGCAATATTATGTGGATAGACATGAGCAGAATTTGTATGGGCAAGAGATCCAGACTCTTCGCTTGGGTTGTCTTTGGCTTCCTTGCCTCGACCTGATGGAGTAGGTGCTTGTAAATGCATCACGTGATGTCACACGTATGCGATTTCTCATGGTCAACTAACGGAAGGGCACTTATAAGTTAAATTTCTTAAGGTTTAAGGATATCTTAAATAGGATTTTAAAGGGGAGGGGTACTTTAAGTAATGTCAGTTAGTTCAAGGATAGCTTAAGTAATTATTCCCGATAAAACTCACGGGATGTTTTTAAAAGTCATGGTAAATTTTTTATAATATCCCATGAATAAATAAAGGTACAAGAAAGAAAAAGAAAAATGACGGAGAGGCGGTGTTCAAATATATACAGGGGCGGAGGTAGGCTTTTCTTTTGGCGGGGACCTAAAAAGTAATAAACATAGATTGGAGAACCGAAACATTGGTAAATTTGACCCCTCTACCACCGGATTGTAGGCAGCCCACACGTAATCTATGCCTAGGCAGCACAGTCCCCCTCCTAGGTCAGGCCCGGTACAGCCCATGGCCCTGCTCCCAATCATGCTGAGTCAAGCCAGTGTCAAGCTTGAAGAACCAAGCCCATAGCAGGCGGGGCCTATTTTAACAACAACAAATTAATATGAATAGGAAAAATAGATAATATGCTGGAAAATTTGTGAAAATTTTATTTCATTTCAAATTTAATGTATAAAAAAAAGATAAAAATTACATTGAAAAATAATACAATGTAATTGAACTAATAAAATGATAAAATTGAAAATAAAAAAAAAAATTATAATGGGCCTGGATTATGAACTGATTGTTGCACATAAAATTGAAGTTCACTAAACTATGAACTTAAAGAAAAGGTGGCAATTGATTGTTGCCTAGCTTCCTCTACTTATTATGGTCCACTACCACTTTACATTGTGTAGTTGTTAAACTTCTCCTATTTCTTATTGAAGTTTTGGGATTTATACATTTAATACATTTGAAATAATAAAGTATTAATTTCATCATCTTTTTTGTTCCAATTTGAGTTATCATATTTATATGATAAACATCAAATAAAACATCTAAACCTGGCTTTTCTAATTCTTGGATCAAAATTTATAGCTAAACAATATGAAGGAGAAATATTTTTCTAATATTTTTTAAATTTTGTTTGTAGAATTTATTTTGAAAAAAATAACTAATTATAAATAATTTATTAACTAATAAACATATAGTAGAATTATGTACTCTTGAAAATAAATTAGTTGCATCATAAAAAATTTGTAAAAAATCTTTTACACAAATTGCAACTTCCAAATCTTCATCAGCTATGTAATCATTGGGCATTTTTTCAATGAAAACTTATTAAAACATCTTTACAAGATAAACAACATTCTAACATTGAATATGTTAAGTTCTACTTATGTTGTGCATTTAACACAATCTTTTATATTTTTTATTTTTTTTCATATTTTTTACATAAATTTTTAAATTCTTGTTTTCTAACCCATGAAGTTCTAACATACATAATACAAATTCTAACTTTCTTAATATAGGGTGAAATAAATTCTAATGAATCTTGTACACAAATATAATTACGTGACATGCACACCTCATATGTAATCATTTTTCATTAAAAATTAGTTTTAATTGATTTTTAACACATTTATAGTAGAATCATTATTACTAGCATTATAAAAAATAATAAAAAAAATATTTTCAATTTACATTCATATAAAGTATTTAAAATACTTCCAAAATTTCAATGCTAATATGTGTCCATTTTAGTTTAGTAAAACGTAAAAATTCTCTTTTGCAAATTCCAATCTTGATTAATAAAATGTGCAACAACACAAATATAACTAATGTTATATTTGGATGTCCATATATCAGATGTAAGAGATATTTTAGAATCTAAATTAATTAAAAAGAATTAAAATTAAATCTTTTTAAGCGTCATTTCTAGTTGTATTCCTAAAAATTTTCTAAATTAAGGATTAATAGAATGTTGCAAAAAGTTTTCTAACCTAGATTCTTCAGAAAAAATAAAGGGTTGTTCAACATGGACAATATATTTAGTTAATTCTTGTCTCATTTTCTCTTGAGAATATTGAAAATTACCAAACACCCCACTAGAAATCTGCATTTGGTTTGAGTCATCACCCTGTCTCAATTGAGGTGCCATGTATAGACAAATGACCAATGCCACCACTACTCTAGTAGCTGAAATCATGCTTGCATATTTTACAAACTACTCTTCTCTTTTTAGGGATTTTCTCAATATTAAGCATGTTCTAGACATTGCTAGTCTTTTTCTTACTAGTAGACTTGGCATTACTAATAATAGCACCACTTGGAGAAGCCATATTTAAAGCAACATTACTGACATTGATATTTTTAGTGTTGTCATACTGATATTGGGCTTCATCAACAAAAGAAAAAGGAGTTTAGGAAGAGCTGACCATTGTAATGAAAATTAAAATTAAGAAGAAATAATCTACTACTTACTCCGACCGCCAATATCATTGATTTCAACTAATAAGCTTTCAAAGCCTCCCAAATTGCAATTTTTCGTTTGCAAACTTAAAACACTTAAAGCAAGCTCCTTGCTAAAACTTGGAGATTGGAATAAAAAATTAAAATTGAGAAAATTAAGAAATATGAGTGTAAATTGTAGAGTAATAGAATATGAGAATTTAGGTGGCTGCTCCACCACCAAGGAGTAAACTTAGGGGTTCAAAAAGAAAAGAGAATATGTATGAGAATATGAGAGTTGTTGTGAGCATGAAGTAGAGTAGGGAGGGGTATTTATAAAAATTCAGGAATTAATTTGACCAATATACCCTCCAAAAACTATCTATTTATGACTATTAAAAAGTGTACTTTGATCATTTTAAAGGATTATATGTTATTTGACTCTATTGGTGGGTATTTTAGTCAAAATACCCCCAACGGCTATATTTTCACAGGCCTTACACATGTCAAGCTAGTATCTGAGACATGCCATGGCAGCCCGCGTGCCATGCCAAACACGGCCCGTCATGCTGATACAACTCTATTCACATAGCGGCCACTCGTAAATAATAATACCTTTCATTTATCAAATCTGTGTACATGTGAATAATACCAAAGACGTCCAAAAACTCTCAACAACCATTCAAAGCAGGCAAATTCTAAATTCTACAATCAAGTTACAATTGTATTTTAAGCTCATTTTGGAAGGAGTACAAATACAAATATGTAGGGTGCAAGAACTTATATTTTGTATGTATTTGTACCATACAATATTTGTATTTGTACTTCCAAACTGAGCTTTAGCCCCTGTATATATTGAAACGAGGTCGCTGCATACGCAAGGCTCAGTTTGGAAGAAGTACAAATACAAATATGTAGTGTAAAACGTTGCATTTTGTATTATTTTATTTGTATTTGTACTCCTTCCAAACTGAGCTTAAAACTTCATTTGGAAGGAATACAAATAGGAATATGTACAGTACAAATATATTGAGCCTAAAATGATAAAATACTCGAAAGCGTTTCTGCCATAAGATCTGGAGCGAAGTTCAAGAAAAGAGTAACATAACCGAAACTACATAAAATATAGATTGTCCTATAAATATACAATTACCAGTTCAGACAAATGGAACTGGAGCATCTCGATCCTATGATCACTTTCAAGTGCATGTCTATAACAAAGGTTATTACTACTCGTCTACATTAAAGGTTTTAAACTGAATGAAACTAAAATTACAGGAAGAGCAGGCATCAAAGTTTCCGATTCATGGCTCCTTCTCATGATGTTAAACATAAGGAGGTAGGGAGGGGGAATATAGTTCGCTCATTGATGGGTAGTCATGTGAGGTTGATTCTTGTCTACTCTAACTTCTAATAACTCCATTTCTTCATATGACCGGAAAATAGGGTGCAGGTATGCATCGGCCAAGTAAGATTTTAAGTTTAGGTCAGGTTCTGAAGCTCTCTCCGCTGTGTCCTTTGCCATGGCCTCCTAAAATAACCAAGAGAAATAAGTCAATAGCAGAACAATTCATCAAAAAAGAGCAATAGCACACCCAGTTAAGTATAAAGCAAGCAACACATAACACATAAGCCTAAAACTATGGAACAAAAAAATATTATTTTGATATATTTAAATGTCAAAATAAAAAACAAGTACGGTGAAACATGCCGTTTTAGCAATGATGGATACAACAAGTTACTTCAAAACTGTTATGGGCCCGAGCGTAGGATCGCGTCACGGGTCGTTCCACGGCAGGAACCCCTAATCTTCCCTTGCCCTTGGCCTTGCGCACAGACCCTATTTTGCCTATCTAGTGGGTGATTTGTCCAAGAGACCACCCGAACTCTCACTTGGG